GGGGGTACCATACAATAAATAACGGGGAAAGTCGGGAATCAAACATACGCCCTCCTGGGTGACAATTTGGTAACGTTAGCACCGGAACACTATCGTCGCTACTTACTCTTTCATCAGAATGGTTACGCACAGCTTTCAACATATTGTGTTCAAACGTACGGTGTCCGAACGCACATACTTAGCATGATCTATTTCATATCGAGTGCTAAGACCAGTTAGAATCAATTCCTTCAATGCATACGGATGAGTTTGGGTTAGTTACGTGTAAATACTGTATGGGAAAGTCTGTAAAGATCGTATGTAATAAGAAATTGAGCGGTTCAGTAGGTCAATAGACCATAGGAAATTAGCTTACAGTGAGAAGCGAAAGATGGGGAACTATGGGAAAAGTCAGCTGACTGATTTTGTGCATCCAGTGAGAATGTGAATTAAGTCACAGTCCACCCACATTGAATCGCATCTGACTGGTCGGATTTGCTGCCGACATAAAGAATAAAGAGTATTACCCCATCCAGTGTTCTGTTGATCTTTATGAAATATATATGTGTGTATGTTGATCTTGCACATGGTTTCGGCAGAATTGTAGTCAACCCGCTCCAGCTCATTCATTTGTATTTCTCCCAGACCGCAAGAATACCAACACAACACTAGACCGAGTTGAGCAGTCTGATTAGAACTGATTTGGTGCTGTCAAGTCCTGCAGCCGTTCAAAGAGGCGTTCAGAAACTAAATCGGGCACTTCATTTGAACCTCATTTTTCACGTTTAAGTCCACTGGGGAAAAGAATTTCTCGTATTCGCGGTACAGGAGTAACCCGTTTACCACTTGCTATTGACGTGCACAGAGGGATAACTAGGTTTTTCTCAAAGCAAAACTGTTTAGTATCGTCTAGGTGTATTCAACTCTTTTTATGTGTGAGATTATTTTATTGTGAAGTGGACTGTGTTCACTCCAAGGACGTCAAGGTTTTCAGTGATGGAATGCGAACAAATTCGATATGATGATGATAACCTGAAGCACCTAGAAACCACCTTTCATCATGCACGCGTGATTAAAATTACTAAATTTTACGTCACCCGGATCGGAAGCGTGGTATATTTCTGTTAATTTTGACAGTGAACTCGATGTAAAACGTAACTGGGTTTGGAGTGATGTTTCCACGTTACTCTCTGATTATGTGGACCTGTAGCTTAGGCGATGCATCCTGCCTAATGTTGTTCATGTCAAAAAATATTTATTTTGTGTCGTTCGGCCTCATGCTGTAGATCAATTAAAATTACGCATACCCATGTGTGTAAATGCAAAGCAATGATCCAAGATAAATCGTTTGAAACCTTGCATTTGATTTGTCTGGTTTCCCCATCGGTAGGCTTCCCTCTTTCTTAACTGGAAAAAGAATGATTCTGGACTGCCATCAGGAAGTGACAAGCACACTATTCGTTAGGTCAAATTTTGTGCGATTTTCAACTACCATGGCTAAGCAGTGTAAAATTAATTACCAAAATTATTTCAGATGACTGACAGTCTAGCAGTACTATGATGCTCATGAACACAGAATGAGAAATAGGAAATCATGTATCGAAGTGAAAGAGAATTTTTGACTGATAACGGGGTCCCCGCTGGCCGAAAGTTACATTGAAGAGGAAAATCCAACCGGGTAGGCCATATATCACTTTAGTTGGATAACTAATTGCAATGAAAAGAATCTTCGGGATAATTCAGCTATTTTTTGATTCAGGTGATCATGAGGAACCCGCCGGTTATCGAAATCAGTTGCCTGACATCAATCAATGTTATTGCCTTTAAGTATTCGATAGATCTGGGTTTTTGATATCTGAGGATTGATGGGAAGTGGCCACATGGTGCACGTTTCACCTATTTGATTTAGTACTGACCTCACCCACTCCACCCATGTTAGTATTCCGTGAAATGCATTGGCTTTCGTGCTTTACTTTAGCCTTCCAAGGCTCTTGGTTATCAACCTCTCCTCTCCTCAGTGCTTCTATGCGGATTAAGTGATCTTCTACGGAGTGCATCGATCTAAATATGCTAGTTACATTAGAAGCAAATGATGTGACGTGGTTTAACTCATAATCTGACTATAGTCGTTACAAGTCAAAATTTACTGGTATCGAATCAAGATGGCGCTAGAAGCTTTTATCATCATTGGAGTAGCTACTACTGCAGATTTTAAAAGCGTTAAACGGATTTCTGAATGACTACAACCTAGCATACAGACCTCTCAGTTTCCCTTTTGGCCTTGGAGGGGATGGTATTGGGACCTACCACAAACCCCGAAGCCCATAGCAGATCTCGGCCTTGGTTTCTATTTCTTACTTGTTTCTTCAGTTGAGTCGGGTATTCTTTAAACCTCTTGAAGCAAACATAAACTATTTCATATGCCTAATTGAAGTTGTTTTATCAAATACCTTTATCTATCGTATTTTACTGGACGAACGAACTGACGGTGAAAGAGAAAATACCGTAGTGGTATGCACCCGTATTTCTCGGTTGTTGACGACCTACTTCTACGGCTTGCCCTCTAACTGGTAATCTGATATAACCCCTTTTGATTGATGTTCTACAAGGTAGACAATCCTGTGCGTGCATCGTTACCACTAACTAATCAGAGGGGATGTAGTTATTTTACAACCGTCAGTCATACCGTACAAGGTAACTTGTTGTCGCTGGGTTCAAGTTTCGAAATCCTGTGTGTTGATCATTCTCTGTTAGGTTCGACCGCCAGCATACTGCATTTCTTCGTTCCAGGCAGTTTATTCTCCCAAATAGCATTTGGTTCACCATGTTTCGCTGTTTCCAAGCCAAGTGATCGCAGGTCTAACCAACTAATCCGTTCTAAGACAAAATCCTTGGTCGTATAGACTGTTTAACTCAGCGAATCGTACACTCGGCTTGCTCGAGGCTACCTATTGCTCCCTCCATTCCTAAACATGTTCTCTAGCAAATGTTTAAGTCACCAATCCGTATGTCTATCTGTTTCTCTCTCTTGCGTCTGTTTACTCATGCACTGACCGAACATATTTGATTGATTGCCTGCGGTTGTTTAGCCCCAAACACTGTGAGATATGCATTTGTCGTGCCTAATTAAAATGATCAGATGAAATGTGCGTATGCACCCGCCTGTGTGTCAATCGAGC